AGAGGCTTTCAGCAATGAAGCAGTTTAGTTAGAAGATTCCTATGCAGAAGCTTTCAGCAATGAAGCAGTTTAGTTAGAAGATTCCTATGCAGAAGCTTTCAGCAATGAAGCAGTTTAGTTAGAAGATTCCTGCGCAGAAGCTTTCAGCAATAAAGCAGTTTAGTTAGAAGATTCCTATGCAGAAGCTTTCAGCAATGAAGCAGTTTAGTTAGAAGATTCCTGCGCAGAAGCTTTCAGCAATAAAGCAGTTTAGTTAGAAGATTCCTATGCAGAAGCTTTCAGCAATGAAGCAGTTTAGTTAGAAGATTCCTGCGCAGAAGCTTTCAGCAATAAAGCAGTTTAGTTAGAAGATTCCTGCGCAGAGGCTTTCAGCAATGAAGCAATTTAGTTAGAAGCTTCCTATGCAGAAGCTTTCAGCAATAAAGCAGTTTAGTTAGAAGATTCCTGCGCAGAGGCTTTCAGCAATGAAGCAGTTTAGTTAGAAGCTTCCTATGCAGAAGCTTTCAGCAATAAAGCAGTTTAGTTAGAAGATTCCTGTACAGAGGCTTTCACCAATGAACCAATTTCGTTGTATTTAAGTACAATAACAATGATTATACTTTAGTTTCCTGTATGGAGGCTTTCAGCAATAAAGCAGTTTAGTTAGAAGTTTCCTACGCAGAAGCTTTCAACAATACAGCAGTTCAGTTAGAAGATTCCTGTGCAGAGGCTTTCAACAGTAAATCAGTTTAATTGTCCCTTCACATATGGCCGTTTTTTCCCACTGAACAACTTCCCCATCAACTCTCTCCAGAGTATGAGAGAAATGCCAGATCAAAGACTTCAGGGAGTTTATTGAAATGGATCACTAGCCTCCAACTCTTCCCCAATTTTAGCATCAAACAGAGCCCCATTATCTTGGCTGGGGGATGAAGGGAATCTCAGTCTGACTCATAAGATAGAAAGGCGCTAAACTGGAGGACTCTGTTTTGTGAAAGAAAATAAACTCTCTTCCAAAATTAGACCGCCAGATTAGCCTAATAACGGTGAAGTCACCAGCTAAAAAATTGGAAATTGTAATCCTGCCTTAGTCAGGAAAGCCATATTTTGGGTAACTTTGGGCCCATCGCCAGGAAAAAGTGAGTTCTAGTCCCGCCTTAGGTACGAAAACCAACTGGGTGACTTTGTACCAATCCTCCTCTCTCTCAGTTCAACCCACCTCACAGGGTTGTTGTTGCGGAGAAACTAGGAGTAGGAAGGAATATTCTGTACGTTCGCCACCTTAAGTTACGTATAAAAACAATATAAGCAGATTTCTAAAGGCAATAAATAAAATAATCGGTTGTCGGCCCCCTGTAGGCGTGGAATAAGAAAAAGGGTTTATTTATCCCTTCTTTTCTCATCCCATCCAGGCCATTTTCCCCCTTCCCCAATCTCACCAGGAACATCTCTGGATCCCCGCAGCATACTCTGCAGGTGACACCGTACGTTCTCCATCTCCGAAATGTGGCGGGACTCGCCCACGGCGCCCTACAAGAAACGGAGAGGCTTAGCCGCCGAAGCTGTCCGTCAATTGGGAGGTGGGTTGTCCTGCAAGTCCCTTTTCTCACCTGCCTAAACGCGCTGGCCTCCACGCCGGCGGAAAGGCGATGGCTGAGCTCCTCCGCCAGAGTGTCCAGATCGACGTCGGCCTCCATGGCTTTCCTAGCCGGGGCCGAGCCGTGCTGTCCCTCCAGCCGAGAAGAGGCCAGAGCCTCGGCCTGCCGGCTCTGGTGAAGGGAGGCGTAGAGCTGGGTGGTGACTTTGGAGGTGTACGGGGTGGCCAGCGGAGAACGAGGCACCTGCTGTCCAGGGGTGGGGGGCTCCGAGGCCGGCAGCAGCTCCATGTCGCTCAAGAGATCGTCGCTGTGGAGGGAAGAGCTCAGGGCTCTCCTGAGGTCCTTCTCAGCCATGGTCCCGGGGTCCTAAACGAAGAGCTGGAGCCAGCACAAGCATTCTGAGCTCAGAAGGCTGGGACTTCTGTCATAATGGGAGCCCCCCAAATGCCGGCAGCAGGAAGCTGGAGCGCCACCAGGAAAGCAGAGCGCTCTTCCTCAAACCGGTCCCTGGAAAAGAATAAGAAAAGAAAGAAATAAAGTTGAAATTCAGTGTACAAAGAAAGAAAAGCAAGGGGGACAAGTCCTTCCTTTCCCTGGATGGGTTTAAAAAATGGTCGGCCAGTCAGATGCTCAGAAGGATTTGGCAGTTTCGTCTGCCTATCCCAAGGAGCAGCAACCTGCGGCTCCGGAGCCGCATGTGGTTCTTTCATGCCTCTGCTGCGGCTCCCTGTCGCCGGTCACCTCCACAATTGATAGGGCTTTCGGTTAGGACAGATAGAGGGAAAAGGACGCCACGCTAGGGGGAGACAGCATGGTGGTGGGGGAACCGGACTTCCGGTCAGCTCCAGTATTGAACAGGGGGGGCGGGTCCGGTTAGGACATTTGTGGCTCTTTGAGTGTTTAAGGTTGCCGACCCTTGGCCTATCTAAAGATCTGGAATAGCCAGATGCGGATCTTTTAACGGCATCAGTGGAGCTCTCGTCTCACAATCAGGAGGCTGTGAGTTCAATCCTAGGTAGATATTTCTCTCTCTGGGCACAACTGCTGAACAAAACTCCTCATTGGCAACAGGAGGGGCATCTGGCCAGTAAAATGCTCAGCTCCATTTCCGTTGTCCAAGACTCCATCCCGCGTGGGATTATGGGGTCGTAAAAAGAAAGTGATGATGCCTTGCAGGATGTCAGCTGTCCTTCCAGCAAAACCGGCTTTTGCAATTGACTGATGGGGAGTTTGGTCAATGCCGACGGCCTTCCGGTGGTGCTCCAGATGTTTTGGGGAATTGCATCCAACTTGGGGGCCACCGGTGATCCCTTGATTGCTTTCTTTTGCCCCTTTTCCCGTTTCTCTTCGCAGCTCTTGCCGTTTTATTATCTTCTCCCCTTCTTTTCTCTTCCGCCGAACTCTTCCGTCCCCTCCAGAGGTTTCGGTTTCCTTCATAGTCTTATTATTGATGACATTTACATGCCACCTCGCTGTCCTTTTAATATTGCAAAATGAATCCGATTCCGACGGGGATAAAAACAGAAAAAAAAGTGATTTTTGAGCTCAGGGAAACATGAAAATTGTGTGGGGGGGGGGAGGATAACCCCCCCCTCCTCCCCCAACCCAGTGAGTCTTTCTATTCTATATTTTCTCTCTGGTTCCTCCTCTCAAAAGCTTGAGAAGCTCAGCTGGGGAGGGAGAGGATGGGAGACCACCAGGAAATCCCAGGGCGGCAGAGAAGCAGCGAACCCCCCCCCATATCTCCCAAATGGCTTCCTGTGCTGACCCCCCCCCCAATTCTCTCCCCTCAGGACCCTCATTGCACCCCTTGCCCCTCCTCAGCTGACCCACTGCCTTGGACTCCATCTCCCATCATCCCCCGCCAGGCTCCCAGGGAGGACAATGGGAGTTGGAGTCCTGCACATATGAGGGGAGGGGAGGCCCCCCCTCCCCCACCCCCGAGGTAAACCGTGTCCCCCTCCCCAGCGCCCCCTCCCCCGTCATTTTGGCGGGCCCCGCCCCTCCCCGCCTCGGGTCCTCGCTTTGAGACCCACTCTGCCGCCCCCCGGCTAGGCTCTAGACCGCCGTCTCCGCCTCTCCGGTCCTCGCGGGGACCCCCGCTCGGCTCTTTCGCTCCCGCGCAGCGCCGGGCAAGGCCTCGGGCGGGTGGCGGGAGAGGAGTGAAGCCGACGCCACCATTTTCCTCCCGGGCAATTTTTTTTTTTATTTTTGCCCGTCGTACGGGCAGAGCGACGGCGAGGGCGCATGCTCGGGAGAAGGGCGGGCGGTGAAAGCGGGAGCGGGCCAATCAGCGAGCGGCGTCGCGTAGGCGGAAGCGAAAGGACGTCGGGCCTGCAAGGTTGTCATAGAGACCGAAGCGGCGGCTGAGGTAATTTTTTTTTTCGGGGGGGGGGGGGCGTCCATCCCGACCCCGAAAATCTGAGTGTGGGGGGAAGGGAGTGGATGATGGGCGGCGTTATCCTCATGACGCGTGTATTTAGTATTTATATCCCCCTGTGTTGAGGGGGGGGTGTCTGTCCCTCAGCCTGGCTCTAATATGGGGGTCCCTGCCCCCCCCTCTTTGCCTCCGACCCCCCCCAGATGACGGTGCACAACCTCTACCTCTTCGACCGCAACGGCGTCTGCCTGCACTACAGCGAGTGGAACCGCAAGAAGCAGGCCGGGATTTCCAAGGAGGAGGTGAGGAAACCCCCCCCCCACGACCCCCCCATCACGTGGGGAGGGGGAGAGGAGCGCCCTCTGCACGCGCTCAGAGGCCTCGGCCGAGGATCCTTTGCGGGGGGGGTGAGGGGGGGGGGCCTTGTCTCTTGGGATAATTAACCAGGAGGGTGGTGGTTTTATTATTGCTTTCTTATTTTTATTATTTCATTATAGTGTTTCCTCACTACCGTTATTGTTTTATAGTAGTGTTGTAATTATGTCATTATATAGCAGATTTATTACATTTCATTTATTATTTATTATTTATTTATTGTTTATTATTTATTTATTATTTATTATTTATTTATTATTATTTATTATTTATTTATTATTTATTTATTTATTATTATTATTATTTATTATTATTTATTTATTTGTTATTTGTTATTTGTTATTTATTTGTTATTTATTTATTATTTATTTGTTATTTTATTGTTATTTTATTGTTATTTTATTGGTTTCTTGTATTGTTTTGTTTTATTTTATTTTATTACTATTTTATTAATATTTTCTTTTATATTATTATTGTTGTTATATAGAAGATTATTATAATTCATTTATTATTGTTATTTTATTATTTTATTATACTACCTGTTTGTTATTTTGTAGTCGTATTGTTTTTATATTATATAGCAGGTTATTATAATTCTTTTATTGTTCTTTGGTTATTGTTGTTTTATTATTATTATATTGCTTTGTGTTATTGTTTTTCATTATTTTATTTTATTACTATTTTCTTACTTTTTATTTTTATGATTATTGCTATATTATTATATCATTATACAGAAGATTATTATAATTCATTTATTATCATTGTATTGTTATTTTATTATAGTATTTTCTTACCTTTTTGTTATTTTGTAGTCGTATTGTTTTTATATTATACAGCAGGTTATTATAATTCTTTTATTGTTCTTTTTTATTGTTATTTTATTATTTTATTGCTTTGTGTTACTGTTTTTTATTATTTTCTTTTCTTACTATTTTCTTATTTTATTTTTATGATTATTGTTATATTATTATATCATTGTATAGAAGATTATTATAATTCATTTATTATCATGTATTGTTATTTTATTATTTTATAGTATTTTCTTTTTTGTTATTTTACAGTATTGTTTTTATATTACATAGCAGATTATTATAATACTTTTATTGTTCTTTGGTTATTGTTGTTTCATTATTATTTTATTGCTTTGTGTTATTGTTTTTTATTATTTTATTTTCTTACTATTTTCTTATCTTTTTATTTTTATGATTTTTGTTATATTATATCATTATATAGAAGATTATTATAATTCATTTATTATCATTGTAATTGTAATGAATTATTGCTATAATCAAACACAGGAAATCAAAAGAGAAGCCCAGTGCAGGTAGTCCTCGATTTACGACCAGAATGAACCCCTCCCCAACATTTCTTTTGTTAAGTCAGACAGTTGTTAAGTGAGTTTGGCTCTATTTTATTGCCCTTGTTTTCCTACAATTGTTAAGTGAATCGCTGCAGTTGTTCAGTTAGTCACACAGTCGTTAAGTGAATCCACTCCCTCCCCCTTGACTTTGCTCGTCGGAAGGTTGCAAAAGGGGGATCTTAGACACTGCAACCGTCATAAATATGAATCACTTGCCAAGCGTCTGAATTTTGATCCCGTGACCACGGGGATGCTGTCGTAAGTGTGAAAAACGGCCCTCAGTCAGGTGCCGTTGCCATTGAGTGAACCGTTGCAAATTGAGGACTACCTGTATTCAGATTATTTAAGCATTAAAATAATTTAATTTAATGTATTGGCCGCCCGTCTTTGCCCCAGTGAAACTCTAGGCAATATTGAAAAAATAAAACTGTCTAGGCAAGATAAATAGAAGTCAACTTGACTTAGGACCACCACAATGGGAACCAAAATGTATGTTGTTAAGTGAGACCTTCAGTGAGTTTTGCCCCGTTTTACGACTTTCCTCGCCTCAATT